GAAGAGTATGTATGGACATTCGACAACAGGGATTAGATACATACTGGGTTGTTTAAAATGTTCTTCTATGCTTAATGGATTCCTAATGCTTAGTTTAGGTTAGACAACAGATGATCAAATTAGGGAATTAGGAATACAAGGTTAGGACCAAACACCATGGCTTAATCATACTTTAACTAGAATCAATCCGTTAATCTAATTGAACTTGGGAACTTATCTGCTTGAGTTATTTTCTTTTCTTTCTTTCTTGTTTTATTTATTTTCTTTCTTGTTTTTTCTGTTTTGTGTAGGAAAACTAAATTGGATTATTCAATCACCAATCCCTGTGGAATCGACCTCACACTTACATATGCTATACTACTGAACGACTCGTGCACTTGCGAGTATCACAAGTTGAGGATGCAGCTGAATCGACGCAACATTAACCTATCATAATATCCATCATTATGTATTTGTAACCTACCAATGTATTTGTAACCTATGGGTGGTAGGTGATTTAGGTCTCTCTACCCCTATATATAGTGGCACCAAATATGAATGAAAGATAAGTTGATTTGAGCAAATTATACTTTCTCTTTCTTCCTCTTATTTCTCCCTACAAATTCCCTAGTTTCACAACACGTTATCAGCACGAAAGCTCTTGGTAATGTTATTCTCTATAGCTTACTTCATCCATATATATATATTCTTTTATATACAAAATTCGATGATGGCTGTTTTTTTTTGTGAAATCATGTTTTTGACATGATTTAAATTGCCAAGAGTATCCTCCAAAGAATGCATGAACATGTAGTTTTTTTATTGTTGTTATTGTTATATGACCACTATTCATTGAAAACTTGGTTGCATGCATGTTGTAGCTAATAACACGAGTAGTATGCAATTATTATTATTATCTTTCTTTCTTTCTTTTCTCCTTTTAAGTTTTTATTTTTATCTTATTTAAACACAATATGTTATGATGAGTTTTTTATTTTTTATTTTATTAACAAGAGATCAGGGCCTGAAGTTCCTCGATCCTCATAATAGATAAGGACCTGAAGTTCTTTTATCAAATCAAAACCTAAGTTTCTGTGATTCAAAATAATTGAAGGCATGAAGTTCCTCAATCTAATTGTCTAAACATCCCAAACCAAAAGTTTTGGTGATTATATTTATGTTTACTATATCAACAATTTTTCTTCAGCTCTAACACATTCCATTTTCTTTTATATAGAAAATGTCGAACTTGGCAAATCTCGAATTTGTTGCACTTGACATATCTGGAAAGAACTACCTTTCATGGATCAATGAGGTTCATCTTGAGGCTATGAACCTAGGGGAAACCATTAAGGATGGCAATGAGGCATCCTCTGTGGATCGAGCGAAAGCCATGATTTTTCTCAGACGCCACATCCATGAAGAATTGAAGTGTGAATACCTTACTGTCAAGGATCTGTTGGCCCTTTGGGGAAATCTCAAGGAAAGATATGACCATCAGAGGACAGTTATTCTTCCTAAGGCTCGCCATGACTGGATGCCCTTGTGTTTACAAGATTTCAAATCAGTGGCTGACTATAATTCTGCTTTGTTCAGAATTAGCTCCAAGTTACGACTTTGTGGAGAGAATATAACTTATGCAAACCTATTGGAGAAAACTTTCACCACATTTCATGCCTCCAATGTGGTTTTGCAACAACAATATCAAGAGCGAGGTTTCCAGAAGTACTCAGACCTCATATCTTGTCTACTTCTAGCTGAACAGAATAATGAGCTTATGATGCAGAACCATTAGTCCCGTCCAACTGGATCTGCACCACTCCATGAAGTGAATGCTGCCTTGGCACCATCTCATGAGGCATATGCTACCTCATCACATGGCGACCGTCGTCGAGGACGTGGGCGACCGTCATCGAGGACGTGGTCGTAGTAGGAGTACCCGTAATGGTCAAGTCCAACATAGTAATAGCCACCGCTTGGGTCCAAGAAATACCCAAGCATCTCATAACCACCAGAAGTGGAACAAACAAGACAAGGAAAATGGCTCCCAACCTTCAGATGACAGGGTGATTGAGGGAGCATGTCATAGGTGTGGTACAAATGGGCATTAGGCACGTGTATGCCGCACACCAAAACATTTGGTTGATCTTTACCAAGCCTCAATCAAGGGCAAAGGAAAAAAGGTTGAAACATATTGGATGGATGCTGATCCAACAGAGTTAGAACCAGTGCATGCAACTCACCTTGATATTTCAGACTTCTTTGTTGGTACTGATGGCAAATCTTTTGATCCTATGATTAGTGATGGGATGCTCCCCAATTAATTTTGTTGAAATTTTTTTTTCACTTTATGTTGTTTGAGCTAAGTTTAATTCCTGTTTTTTTTCTTTTCCCTTTTTCACATGTTAGTTTGGATATTTTTCATTGAATAAAATCAAATTAAAGACTTCATTTGATTTTATTTATTTACTTATTATTATTATTATTATTATTTTTCTTCTAATAACATTTTAATACATATATATTTTCTTATAAATTTGAAGGCATGGAAAACAATCATGGATCC